CTGTTTTCCAGTGTAGTCCTGTTTCTCTGACTGTGACTAACTGGATGTGCGCTCTTCATCCTCTGACATTATTCTGGGAATTTTACGACTTTATTCTCATAATTTCATGAATTTATTCTCTTAATTTTACGACTTTATTCTCATAATTTCATGAATTTATTCTCTTAATTTTAGGACTTTATTCTCATAATTTTACGACGTTATTCTGGGAATTTTAAGACTTTATTTCAATAATTTTATGACTTTATTCTCATAATTTTACGACTTTATTCTCATAATGTTACGACTTTATTCTGGGAATTTTACGACTTTATTTTCAGAATTTTACAAAGTTATTCTCAAAATTTTACAATTTTTCTCTCGTGATTTTATGACCACATTCTCGTAATGTTATGAATTTCTAAAAATGTTACGACTTTATTCTCATAATTTTACGAATTTGTTCTCTTAATTTTACAACTTTATTCTCTTAATTTTACGACTTTATTCTCATAATTTTACAAATTTATTCTCTTAATTTTACGACGTTATTCTGGGAATTTTAAGACTTTATTTCCATAATTTTACGACTTTATTCTCATAATTTAATTAATTTATTCTCTTAATTTTAGGACTTTATTCTCATAATTTTACGACGTTATTCTAGGAATTTTAAGACTTTATTTCAATAATTTTATGACTTTATTCTCATAATTTTACGACTTTATTCTCATAATGTTACGACTTTATTCTGGGAATTTTACGACTTTATATTCTCAGAATTTTACAAAGTTATTCTCAAAATTTTACAATTTTTCTCTCGCAATTTTATGACTACTTTCTCGTAATGTTATGATTTTATTCTCGTATAGAAGAAAGCCCAGCCCTAATACTCTGTTGTAAGATATTTAAGCCCAGGTATTCCAGTGTTATAGTGGGCTGATACACTTAGAGCTCATGTTGCTATACGAGGCTGATAGAAAAAATGTCAATTTTTGCGGCTCCAGACAGATTTATTTTTAGTTTTTTTGGTCCAATATGGTTCTTTGAGCAGTTTAGGTTAACAACCCCTGATCTAGACCCACTGCTGTATTCAGACCCCCTCCCCTGTATTCCCACGTTTCCATCTCTTTTCCCGTGGATCAGAGCCACATTTGGAAGGAACCACCTGAAAGGTTTCCCTGCAGCAGAACGACCACATTCTTCAAACTCTGCTCCAATTTCAGAACAAAAGCTTTCTGCAATTTTTCTTGATTCGGAGCCACAGATCAGATCAACCATGAGGCCTCAAGGACGCAGCTGGCCTAAAAGCAAGGCTGTCGAGTCACCAGCAGCTCGAAGCACTACTGGAAGCTTCAAAATTAGAGTTAATAGAGGTCCAAGGTCTGGCAGTGATGAGGAAAGTGAACTATTTTTTTATTTTCAATTATTTAATTGAATTTGACGTATTTTCTGTGATTTGAAATCTAAACAGCAAAAGATAATGCCGACCACATGCTAACCTAATGCTAGTTAAAGGAAAAGTCTGCTCATATTCAGAATTCAAACTTCTGAAAGTTCTTTAAATCTGAAATGATTCCATCCTGTTCAATAAATGATCAGTGTTTTTAATTCAGAGTCATTTTCATTTGAATGTGCTTTACTGGAGGCATCCATGTTTGTCAAAGAACACTACTGCCACCTACTGGTTAGTGACGTCACGGTGCGGTATCGGCTGTTGATCAAGTCCCAGTGCTGTATCTGGTGTTTGTCACAACGCGCTATTATCCAAGTCATCTTGAAAACATTCTTCTTCCAAATGTTGGCTACATATTACGGGTTTTTTCTCTGGCCAGAAGTTCGATGGCAAATCCTCCCTCTTCAAGTTGGCGATCCAACGACCAACCCGTCCGTGGAGGATCAGGAATCAGAAAGGTGGAATAACTCTTTTTTTCACTTTTACCCGATGTATTCCAGCATCCAGCTGCCATGCACGTGGGCATTGTCAGTTTCACTATAGCTCTGGTGAATTTCAATGGTGAAGTCCTCTGGAAATCTTCAATAATTGTTGTTGATTGCAGATGTGTCTAGTAGTTCCCATTGATTTAGCTTGTAAAGCGGGGAGAATGGCGCTAGGCTTACCGCACCGTGACGTCACTGCTGGAAGATGGCAGGAGGGAGGGGTTACTATATTTGGGGAAAAATGGCCGCTCCCAGACTCGGTGATCGCAACGAAAATTATTGTTTTTTATTATTAGTTTTAGGCATAAATAAGGATCCATTGATTATTCCTTGCTGACCGGACTTTTCCTTTAACCAGCTGCTAACATGATTTAAGTGTTTAGTCATTAAGTCATGACAAACTTTATTTCATTTAATTATTTAGAATAAAAAAATAGAGGGAAATGCATAATAATGAACATTAGACAATGTGAATAGCAGGTTTAAGTCGCATTCAGATAAGACATTTAAAACACGAACTGAACACAGACAGATACAGACACCATAAAGTACATCTTAGTACAGATTAACAATAAGAGTTTAAACTTCAACATGACTTTAAAGATTGTGTTTTCACTGATATCATCATGACATCACATTTAAATAGTAATGGACCGAGTACTTTACCGTATTACTTGAGTATAAGTATTTATACTGATGGTTAAATCTTATTCAAATACAAGTAAAAGTTACTCTGTCAAAAATCTGCGGCACACCGCTGACTTTGGGACCTAAAGAGTTGATGCGTATGGATTATTTTAAATGATTTAGACAAATGTTTTATGTTGTACAATGGAGTATTAGGGCCAGGCTACAGATTTGTTTATTTTTTTAGAGAATACAATTGTAATATTAGGAGAATAAAGTAATAAAATTACGAGAATAAAGTTGTATTTTGTGGCAACTCTTACAAGATCACTTTCTTCCCTAAAATGAGGAATATCGAGCATCATGTGATACTTTGGCATCAGTTTAACAAATACAGAAATCTGAGAAACAGGGAGATTAAATAGGAAAACCAGAACAGGTGCATCTGATGAATAACAGGCCAGAGCTAGACGGGTGAAAGAAATGAGCAGAGATGGCAAAAGTACTCACTTTCCGTACTTGAGTAAAAGTACAGATACTTGTGTTAAAAAATACTCTGGTAAAAGTGGAAGTACTGATTAAACTTCTTTACTCAAGTAAAAGTAACAAAGTACAGGCTTGTAAATTTACTTAAAGTATAAAAGTAAAAGTAGAAACCACTTTTTTCATGCCGTTGCCTACATTTTAAATGGATGTCTGCCAATAGGACTAGATCTCCGTTGTGTTCATTTTCAATCATCTCGTCGTCCATGCTACTATGCTAACGCCACCGCCACCAAGCTGCAATGATTTGCCGCCAATGAATACCGCCGAATCTGTCGATTCATCTTGTAGTGGTGCGTCAAATGCAACGTAGATTCCCATCCAATTAGATTGAATTTGGTATCGATGACGGGAAAAATAATAACGGTAACTCCATTGAAATGATTCAAAACTAAAGTAACGAGCCAATTTTTTAAAATGTAAGGAGTATAAAGTACAGATATTTGTGTAAAAATGTAAGGAGTAGAAGTAAAAAGTCGCCATAAAAATAAGTAGTAAAGTAAAAATATCAGAAAAATCTACTTGAGTATAGTAACGAAGTATTTGTACTTCGTTACTTCCCATCTCTGCCTATGCACTAGAGGAGTCGGCGTTCACCTGAACTTCATAGATAATAAACATATTTCTATTGTTTATTTTCATTTTTAACTTGCTTTTAGATATTCTCATTATGAAATCCATATAAATCCTCTAATGTTCTAATTTATTGATATGATAAAATGCTTCATAAATCCTTCAAAATAAGAGCTTCAGTAAAAAATAACATTTCAGACTTAGTCCACTCACTGCAAAAAATCTAAATCTAGATAAGTCATTTTTTCTTAAAATAAGTGCATTTGTTCTTGAATTGAGGAGCTAAGTATTTGTACTTCGTTACTTCCCATCTCTCGAAATGAGCAATCAAGCAGGAATCGGCACTAAAATCATGACGGGTTAAATCAAACCTTCAGGTCCGGTTTTTACAGGAATATGCAATTGGCCTGTAACTGTGAAAGAGACAGAAAGGCCAACTCTGATCGATCCTAAACTAAAAAATAAGTCCTTTTAAAATAATGAATTAAATTAAATTTTTTCTCTAGTGCCAAATTCCATCATTAAGCAGGCAGTGACTTTCTAAAGGACAACCTTTCTTTTAACAGGGGAGGGGTCAAATGCAGAGAGTGAATTTCCCCATTGTTGGACGATAACACAGTCAACTCTGTCTGAGCCTATAGCTATGCCTAGGCATTAAACTGGACTAAACACTGAAAAACATGCCCAACTCTATCATCTATAATCAAAGGTGTTGATGGCAGCAGCTCAAAAAAGAGAGAACATAAAGTTGGAAGTTATACGAACAAATACTATATAGTGGAAAAGAGCAATGGAATAAGTTAAAGAAAGGAAAAGTGGTCCCCATGCACTCCAGCAGCCTAAACCTAAAGCAGCATTACTGTAGAGATAGTTGAGAATTAGCACATTATTCCAGGTCAAAGCTGCACATTTGATTCATTTTGCGGTTTTCCCTCCAACCTATGTTCAAACTAAGCCCCAAAAGCAAAAATAACTCATATATAACTGAACTAACATCACAGGAAAAGTGGTCTATCCTAAAGTTAAACTCTGCTTTGTGTTTCTACAAGCAGCAAAGTCCATGAATAACTAAACATTTCTGTTAGTTCTTTGTTTGCTGTCAGACACAGATTGTTGTTTAATCTGGAAACAAACATTTGATTTGTCTCCGGTTCTTCTGTCACACTTTAAGCTCAAGTGGCTTCAGCTTTTGGACTTATTGGATTTATTGCCAAAGCATGAAGGTGCGCTGAAGCGAGGGTTTAAGTTTTCATTCTTTGCTGCTGAGCCTGACGGCGGAGCCGCCATCTGAGGCAAAATATAATTGAAACCAAAGCCGCCTAGGCTGAGTGTTTCTACCTGCTGGAAAGGGATTGGAGAAACCAGTCAGACCAGTAAGGACCTTCCATAGAGGAGACTAACAGAGGGTCATGATGGCTGGGTGTGTCGGTGTGACAGATGCCCCCAGAAAGCTACTAACAGGATGACGTCTGCGCCGCGAGGCCACAGGGTAAAGCAGGATTATGTCTGAGCAGTAGATAAACAGATTATTCCAGAAACAGTGCCCACTTTTTTAACCTCGTCACTCCTGCCACACCTCCAGCTCCCTCCTTCAGATTCATCTGCAGCTCGTCCTCCATCCATGTCCGCGAGAGGTGGACATGCTCCCCTGAACTGCATCTGACCGAGACGATCGGACTTATTCGCCACCGCCATGGTCCGGGGACCGGCCTGCGCCATGTTTCAGGCTTTTAGACTTTTTCTGCTGCTGGTCGCCGTTTCACAGGCAGCTGGAATCAAAGGTAAGCCTCATTTCCTCTGCAGAGCAGCGATCATCTGATCGTTAAAAAACTAGTTAGATGAGGAGGAAGGTGGACTAAAGTTGGTCAGAATGGGAAGAAAAGCCTCTTAGGGTTACATAAGGATGCTGATGGGAAACAGCTTCACAGCAGGAGTCTAAAGGAAGAAACTCGTCTTCCTCCAAATCAGGGCTGAAGGGAAACGAATCCAGAGCAAAGCTGAGTGACTTCACTCATTTCTGCTCTGATTATCAGCTGTAAACCAGAGATCTGAATCTGGACCCCCCCTCTGGCCTGGGTCTTTACCTGCTGGTGGGTTTCTGCAGGACTCTGCGGTTGCATAAGCCGACGCTTCTTGTTTAACAGATTTTTTTTTGCTCCAAGCACCCTTGAAATGAAACCAGTGCTTTTTATTTTTAGCTGGAGTGGAAACAAGGAGTCAGACCCGAACCCTTTCAGGCAGCTATGATGCAGAACAACACTCAGTGCACTCCACTCATGGAAACGGATCGTACGCTCACACTAAAACACCACACTGCTTCATTTCAGGCCACACTTTCTCTCTTTCTTTTTTGTATTACTGCTCAAATAGAGCAGATGGAGAGAAACTTGTCAGAGATATGCTTTTAACCAGGTGCAGGTTTCATATATTAACAATTTTGCACATCAATATACTAACTTTAAGGATGAAAAGTACACTGCAGAAAATGGAAATCTAAGTAAGTCATTTTTTCTTAAAGTAAGTGCATTTCTTCTCCAATTGAGGGCGAAAGTGAGACACTTTGCCAATGAAACAAGTCAATTTACATTTAAAATAAGAAAAAACAATTGCATTATATTATTTCAAGTTCATATTATCTAATTATCTTATTTTAGAAGTAAAGATACTAATTGCATTGGCAAATCCTCATATTTACCTACTCAAATTAAGGGTAAATACACTTAATTTAAGAATTTTTACTTATTTCTAGATCGTTTTTGCAGTGTACATAATTTATGATCTTTTCAGAACTAGATTTTGTGTTAAATGGAGTTAAGAGAAAAATATGTGTCTCTGCATAAAGTTGATATTTTATGCATAATTATTAGTAATTAATACAACTAGGTAAGTAATGCACTGGAAAAAATATAAATCTAGATAAGTCATTATTTCTTAAAATAAGTGCATTTGTTCTTGGATTGAGGAGGAAAAAGATCCACTTTGCCAATGGAACAAGACAAATTACATTTAAAATAAGAAAGACACAATTGTCTTATTCCAAGTGCATATTATCTAAAAATCTTATTTTAAGAGTAAAAGCATTACTTCCATTGGCAAACTATCTCACTTACCTACTCAAATTAAGGGTAAATACATGTAATTTATAAAATTTTGACTTATTTCTAGATTGTTTTTCCAGTGTGACGATGGAGAAGATGTTCGCTGTACCTTTTATCTAGACCAGGGGTCACCAACGTGGGGCCCGTGGGCACCAAGGGGCCCTCAAGGACAACATGGGGTGCCCTCAGCATCTTTTGAAAACAGAACAATTCACCAGTGGACTAAATCTGAAATGTTATTTTTTACTGAAGCTCTTATTTTGAAGCATTTATGAAACATTTTATCATATCAATAAATTAGAACATTTGAGGATTTATATGGATTTCATAATGAGAATATATAAAAGCAAGTTAAAAATGAAAATAAACAATAGAAATATGTTTATTATCTATGAAGTTCAGGTGAACGCTGACTCCTCTAGTGCATAGGCAGAGATGGGAAGTAACGAAGTACAAATACTTCATTACTGTACTCAAGTAGATTTTTCTGATATTTTTACTTTACTTTACTACTTATTTTTATGGCGACTTTTTACTTCTACTCCTTACATTTTTACACAAATATCTGTACTTTCTACTCCTTACATTTTAAAAAATTGGCTCGTTACTTTAGTTTTGAATCATTTCAATGGAGTTACCGTTATTATTTTTCACGTCATCAATACCAAATTCAATCTAATTGGATGGGAATCTACGTTGCATTTGACGCACCACTACAAGATGAATCGACAGATTCGGCGGTATTCATTGGCGGCAAATCATTGCAGCTTGGTGGCGGTGGCGTTAGCATAGTAGCATGGACGACGAGATGATTGAAAATGAACACAACGGAGATCTAGTCCTATTGGCAGACATCCATTTAAAATGTAGGCAACGGCATGAAAAAAGTGGTTTCTACTTTTACTTTTATACTTTAAGTACATTTACAAGCATGTACTTTGTTACTTTTACTTGAGTAAAGAAGTTTAATCAGTACTTCCACTTTTACCAGAGTATTTTTTAACACAAGTATCTGTACTTTTACTCAAGTATGGAAAGTGGGTACTTTTGCCATCTCTGGTCATAGGTCAGTACACTGGAAAAACGATCTAGAAATAAGTAAAAATGTCTTAAATTAAGTGTATTTCCTCTTAATTTGAGTAGGTAAATGAGATAGTTTGCCAATGGAATGAGTATTTTTACTCTGATAAATAAGATAAATAGATAATATGCACTTGAAATAAGACAATGCTATTCTGTTTTCTTATTCTAAGTGTAAATTGCCTTGTTCCATTGGCAAGATGTCTCTTTTACTACCTTAATCCAAAGGCAAATGCACTTATTTTATTTTTTCGTCTAGATTTTGATTTTTTTCCAGTGTTTCGGTAGCCCGTCCTATGACTCAGTAGCCATAAAGTAGCCCTCAGCCTTAAAAAAGTTGGTGACCCCTGATCTAGACGGATGTTTAAATGTCTGCGTCTACTCGTTAGCAAAGGCTGAAGGAAAGTAGAGTTTGTCTTTATTTAGAAAATATGTTGTCGGTTTAGATTGAGCCTGAGGTTCTGGCGTCTTTCCGCTTTCAGCCCCCCCCTCAGTGCAGGTTGGTTATTACCTGGCCCCCCCTTATAAAACGCCTCTGATTTTAACTCCATGCAGTAGAAAAAGGAATAAAATTGCATTTTCTCTTTAGAGAAACATTTAGAGAATAATAACACTTGGTGCAGCCTGAGGCTCACATCCACGACTTTACCTTTTATTCTTGCAACGATCTGAAAGCTGCTTTTAACCAAGGACGCACAATAAATCTCTAAAATATCACAGTAACGGTCGGAGCAGCATTCATCCTAACGGGCCGTTTGGAGGAGAGAAGAACGGCGGCTAATATATCACTCCTGATATCATCATCAGCGCCATGATTATCATCAATCTGCAGGGTTTCCAGCATCTCGCATTGAGCTGTGCAAGCTGCCCGCCGCCGGAGAGCCAAACTAATCCCATCTGAGATAAAAGGTGAACTTCTATCCAATTGAGCGTGCCGCGGTTTGTGGCTCTGATCCGCTTAGATTTTAGGGGGAACATCATTTCTGATTCCAAGGAACATCTTCTTCTGGGAGCTTTATTGCTTCCAATCTAAAAGGAGAAGAATATGTGAAACATGTCAAACGGTAGAAGGAGAGTCAGTGTGACGATGAGTGAATTACCTCCATCTCTGCAATAAGGCATCTAAAAATAGGAACACATTTCTTCACATAAATGTGTTTAACTTTAAAGTGAGAAGCCAAATAAGATCAAAAGGAAGCAGACTTTTTGCCTTTAAAATAAGATAATAAGATATAAGTTACCTGTAATTGGATAATCTTATTTATTTCTCATTACAAATGTGAATCCTCTGGAAAATTGTCTTACCTGCTTAAAATTGTATGGAATTTACTTCCTTATGTTTACACTGGAAAAATGATCTAGAAATAAGTAAAAATGTCTTAAATTGAGTGTATTTACCCTTAATTTGAGCAGGTAAATGAGATAATTTGCCAATGGAATGAGTATTTTTACTCTTAAAATAAGATAATTAGATAATATGCACTTGAAATAAGACAATGCAATTGTGTTTTCTTATTTTAAATGTAAATTGTCTTGTTCCATTGGCAAAATGTCTCTTTTACCTCCTCAATTCAAGAACAAATGCACTTATTTTAAGAAAAAATGATTTATCTAGATTCAGATTTTTTGCAGTAAGCGGACTAAATCTGAAATGTTATTTTTTACTGAAGCTCTTATTTTGAAGGATTTATGAAGCATTTTATCATATCAATATATTAGAACATTAAAGGATTTATATGGATTTCATAATGAGAATATCTAAAAGCAAGTTAAAAATGAAAATAAACAATAGAAATATGTTTATTATCTATGAAGTTCAGGTGAACGCTGACTCCTCTAGTGCATAGGCAGAGATGGGAAGTAACGAAGTACAAATACTTCGTTACTGTACTCAAGTAGATTTTTCTGATATTTTTACTTTACTTTACTACTTATTTTTATGGTGACTTTTTACTTCTACTCCTTACATTTTTACACAAATATCTGTACTTTCTACTCCTTACATTTTAAAAAATTGGAAAAATGATCTACAAATAAGTAAAAATGTCATAATTAAGTGCATTTATCCTTAATTTCAGCAGGTAAATGAGATGAAATGAGTATTTTTACACTTAAAATAAGATGATTACATAATATGGACTTGAAATAAGACAATTCAATTGTGTTTTCTTATTTTAAATGTAAATTGTCTTGTTCCATTGGCAAAATGTCTCTTGGAACAAATGTACTTATTTTAAGAAAAAATTACTGATTTAGATTTACATTTTTTACAGTTTATGCCGCATGGTTCAAAGTCTGTGAAAAAAGTAGTGGCTTATAATCCAGAAAATACGGTAATCTGTATTGGTATAGGCTTTAAAAAACTTGTATCAGCCCATGTTTGGACTTGGTACGGAGCCCCCTAGGGGACATGGGGAATTTTTTTTTTCTTTTGCGTTCCCTCGCAAAATTTTGCGTTACCTCGCAAAACCTTTTGCGTGAGAACACAAAACCTTACTTCGGTAAAGTTAGAAAGATATTCACAGATTCGGACTTCCGGGATCAATAACTCTCGATCAATGTAATACATCCAGCTTGGAGAACGGCTCGTTTTTCTCGAAAAT